AAATCAAACATAAAAATTGGTGAAATCAAGACAAACCCAGCTCTAAATCCAAAGGCGGTGCCTTCTTTTGAATGAAGGAAGAGGGTTCTCATGGTGAGGTGTTACCGGTAAGCAAAACTTTGACTGCAAAAGTGTAATTTTTACTGCAAGCCACAGATGCATTTATGTAGCATGACACTTTACAAATGCCGATAGTCTGTCGTTGAACATGTCAGTAGGGCAGCAACGAATATGATTCAAATAGAAACACTACATTTTAAGCATAGTTAATTATAGAACCCTATAGGTTTTGCAGACTAGAAAGTGTACCTTCTTTCCACTTAAGACCATAATTAGAAGCAGAGATATTCATCTGTAATCAAATTTAGAAAGGGAGGCAAAGTTTCAGCTTTCAGTCAGAGGCCAAAATTTGGAACAGAGAGCCAGTACAGCTAAACTAAACAGAAAACTCAATGAGTTGGGGGAGGGGGAGTCTTAGGGGGTCAAAAAGGAAGACAGCTTTTCATAATTCTAACAAAGACAGTTGAAGGAAGGATCTGATGGGACAGGCTTTGGTTTGAAAAATTTCACATAGGAAGAATTGGAATTTGTCACAGAATAAAGGCTTACATTCAAAGCTGCCCTTGTCGAAAAACATTTTAAAGGGACGCAAGCCCACCAAGCTTCCCCCGACCTGCCACACCACCATACCCTCCCCAGAAGTAAACCATTTGGGCTGATGATTCAGTTTGGCATCTTGTTAGGCAGGCTGTTCAGGCCAAGAGGAAGACCGAAAGGGTGGGAGGGCAGGAGAAAACAAAGGGAAGAGAAGAACTAAGCATTTGTCCATTCCAGGCCTGCTCTGTTTACTCAGGGCTCCCACCCACTAAATTAGCAACCTGGCTTGCCAGGGGTGCTTGCATGCTGGGCTAATGGGGCACGAAGCTCAAGTTGGACTAGTTCTGAATGCTCCTGCCTGCCTTCCAGGGCTCAGCACCTGCAGATGCTTGGGTAAACTGTTCTTCCTCGAACAGCTGTGCTCCACAGGAGTTCCAGCAAGTGCCTGTCAGCCAGGACAGGGAGGCACTGAGGGGCTCCAGACGGCCCACACAGACAGAGCGTTCAGCGACTTTCTGAAAATCAATTCTCAAGGAATTGCTGTGGTGAGGGGATCAACAACACTGAAGAAATTCCTTACTGACATGTCTAGAAAAATGAAGACTTCTGGAAAGCTGACCATGGCCCCTTTATTTCCTTTGGGAATTTACTCTTATGGATAGTACTTTCAGGTGCCAAGACTAGGACACACATTTTGTCAATATTGAAAAGGAGAAGAAGCACAGATACTAAGGGGCAGGCGCTTGCTGTTATCTCATGTCTCCTGCCCGGGTTTATCCTCATTGACCCTGTCTCTAGTTTTTGCATCATAAAGGGGAGATGACACTGAGTGAGGGAGTGAGCCTCGGATCTGGATTCGAGTCGGAGCTGGATCTCGGCATCCTTCCTTCTCACAGAGCCAGTGCACAGGCCACAGTGAAAGGAGTCACACCTCAAGGAGGAATAAGAGAGATCACATGGGGAGGGTTCTGTCACTGCAGCTCTGCCTCTTCATCTTAAATGGCCCCCACTAGGGAAACTGGGTTTTAAACATTTCAGAATTCCTGTTTTAACTGCACAGTGTTCTTTGCTTTTCGTGGTCCTCCTTAGAAATCCTGACTTCTTTGAAAGAAAGATAAGTGTCCAACAGGGGAACTATTTATTGCTCTCATTAATAATCTCTGACATACGAATTCCTTCTAAAACCCAATCTAGTCACCTTTTCCTTGAGTTAAAGTATCATCGCCTTGCAGGCCAACATGAAGGACACCGGGAGCAGAGAGGGCCGTCCTGTCACCCCCCCCTCACCTCTTCTCTGGGCTTCTTGCCCTCAGCTCCCAACCCTGGGAATGTTCTCTGACATAAGGCCAAGGTGAGAGGGCATGAGGATTCCTTGCCACCAGGTCAGAGACTGAGAGGTTTTGAGTAGAGATTTCCTCTCGTAAAATTAAAGCATCAGAATACGCCAGAAGGAAAAAATGCCAAAAGAAACTGTCTTTCCTCAGCTGCCTCAGTAGGAGGGATGCTACTAGTATCAAGCACAACAAGGACAGGGGAGCCAGGCCCTGGAAGGTGGCCATATGTGGCTTTAGGACTCAGTGCAGCTGTTTTACATTTAAAGGGTCAGCCACTCAGAGCAATGTTTTCGGGGAGCTCATGAATTCCTAACATCCTTCACATCTCTCGGTGCCTCCAGTCCACTTCCCCTACTTCAATCTGTCTACCTCTTCTTGGTGGCTTCTTATTTTCAGCACTGAGATGGAAAATATACAAAAGAGCAGTACTTTAGGAAGGTGCTCCAGACCAAGAAGATGCAGATCAGGTGCAAACCTTATTCCCAGGGAGTCTTGATGAAGAGATCGAGATAAACCTCGCGACTGCCAGTTACCGAGCATCTGGAATGCTTGTTCTTTTCTCTGGCACAAGTCATGCATCGCTCTTGGGTTCAGCACTTTGCAAAGCAGATGTCCACTGTTGAAGAATGCATGCGAGACTGGAGCCAGTGACACTGTAATCCACCAAATGTCTGTGATGGAATCCACGGCTCCTCTGCTCACAAGTTTCCTCACTGAAGTCATTTCGGGGGAAGCCAACAAGAAATACCGAAATAGGCAGGAAGAGCCCAGACAGGCTGAAGAGATTGAGTTTTCCAAGCAAATTGCAACTGCGGAAGGGGCTGTTTTTCAACAACGGAGGGGGCTTGAGGGATAAGAGCTGCAGGCATGTGAAGCAAACTTTTGCAGTGCACGGTGTTTCACCAGGTTCTTCTTTCAAGTTCAACGCCGGTGGATAATGGTTAAAAGTTCTGGTCACAAATTACGAAGTGTTGTGCATGTTTCCCCACACCAACAAGCAATTCTCTGACACCAGCTGTGTGTCCTACAATTTAATTCAATTCCGACACTATCTACCTGGAGAGAGCATCAGACCCCACAGGTTAAGGGCTCAGTCCCACAAGAATGCCACCTCCCCCCAGTTCAGAGGCCGGTCTCAAGTCCAGTCTGCTTCTGACCAGCCGACAACCCCCTCTCCTTGGGTTTCATTAATTTGCTAGAGGGACTCACAGAACTCAGAGAAACATTTTGCTTACTAAATTACCCACTTATTATAAAGGGATATAACTTAGGAACAGCCAGATGGAAGCGATGCCTAAGGCAAGGTGTGGGGAAAGAAGGCAGAGCTTCCGCGCCCTCTCCAGGCCACCACTCTCCCCAGATCTCCATGTGTTCACCAACTCAGATCCTCTCCAAACCCTGTCCTTTTGGTTTTTTATAGAGGTTTCATTATATAGGCACGATTGATTACATCACAGGCCATTGGGGACTGAAATCAATCTCCAGCCCCTCTCCCTTCCTCTGAGGTTGGAAGTTGAGGGTAAGCGGCAGGAGAGTGGAACTGAAAGTTCCAACCCTCTAATCACACAGCTGGCTTCATTGACAAGCAGCCCCAGTCTTTAGGTGCTTTCCAAAAGTCACCTCTTTAACGTAACAAAAGATACCTTTGTTGCTCTCATCACTTAGGAAACTCCAAGGGTTTTAGGAGCTATGTGCTGCAAACAGAGACTTAGACCAAATATATATTTCTTATTATAAATCACAATATCACATGGTAAAGAAAAGAAAAAAAGAACAGCAGAGAAAAAGGCCTTCCCTGGCTTCGGTAACAACAGCTGGTGTGACCTCCACTAATCTTGTAATTGGTAATTGCGCATCTGAAGGCCTTGCTTGCTGGAAAGAAGCATTGGGCAGGTAATGGCAATTACCTGGCAGGCGGCAGCTGAGACCTCTGTCTGCAGAGGGAGGAGGGCACGAGGAGGGCATGTCCAGCGATCTGATGCCAAAGCATCCTTCCGTTCTTTGCACCTGCATACACTTATTCTGGCAAAGCTGTGCTTCATAAAGTGCTAAGCCCAGGCTTCCCCATTCCCTAATGGAAGATGTTAGGTTTTAAAGAGGAATACAAGTTTTCAAGGCACAGAAATAAAAGGCACTTGAAGATTTTGGATTCTGTACTCCTAGTCACTGTCACCTAGAAACGCTATTGCTATTTTTTCATTGTTCTACAGCAGATGAAGTTTGGGGATTTTAAAAGCAAATGGCAAATGGACCCAATGGAGCAAAAGAAAACTTGTGCTAGAAGATTCTGGCCTTTCAACAGGATTTTGGCAATACAACTGCCTGCTGGAGAAGTGTTTGGAGGGAGCAGGGAGAAGGGGAGAGGTTAAGAAGAGAAACTGAGTGCCCTCTTGGGCAATAGAGACTAGAGAGCCAATCTTGAAAACAGAAGTCAGGATACTACAGTCCTCAAGCCAAATCTGGCCCACTGCCTGTTTCTCTATAAGTTTTATTGAAACACAGCCATGCCCATTCATTTATACTGTCCGCCATGGCTCCTGCCCTCTAATGGCAGAGTTGAAAAGCTGTAACAGAGACATGGCCTGCAAACCTCAAAACATTTACTAACTTTTTCTTTGCAGAAAAAAACCTGCCAAAACCTGTTTTAAAACAAAAAATTTCCTTTAACTTTGGAAGGGCTTGGCAAGAGAATTCAGTTAACCTGTGACAAATGCCAGCAGACACTTAAGGGGAGGGGAGAGAATTTCAGAGGCCTTAGGAGTTAGTGCTCTGCATTTCCTCTTGAGGATAAACAACAACAGGTGGCCTTCAATTTTTCTGCAGCATCTTTTCAATATTAGCCAACTATTAAATGTTATACTGTTCCATGCCTACAGATTCTAGGCAGCTCCATACTTTCTACTTACGTATGAACAGTAAGAGCTATGCCTGTCCCATCATGACATCTAAGTGTCCCCTTGGTTAGTTCTGAGGTTAGTAAGTAAGGAGCAGCTGACCCTTTCTTCCCTATAGAATAGCTGAGTGTGGGTGTGACCCCTGCACTCTGGTAGGCAGAGGCCATCACTGTACCTGTTGGCCAAAAGCTGGGACCTGGTTCCTGAGGGAGAGGTCAGGTAGATGGCCAGGTCTCCCCTCCTGGGGTGGGTGATGGTTATGCGCACGACTACATGTTCTAGGTAGTTGACATGGTGGTTGGGATTATCGGAGCAGCCCGAAGCTTTGTAGATGGAGCGCACCGCACTGTTGGGGCGAATTGTCCTGCAACAGAGAGAGGACAAGTTTGAGCAAAGTACGTGGCAAAGGTCCCTGAGTGACCCTGCAGGCCTGAAATGATTATATGATCTAAAGCAAGCAGCTGGTCGCTGGATACTAAACAACACAGCACTATCACCCAAATGACTGGGTCACCTAAAGAATTAACACTGGCTATACAGTAGGAAAGATGCAAGTGAGAGGAAAGGGGGAATTAAGGTTTTTTTTATCTTCATGCAGGTAGTGGATATCAAACTTGAGGGTAGCACCTTGTTAAAATGCAGATTGCTGGGCCCTGGCCAGGCCCAGAGTGTCTGATTCAGTGAGGCTGGGGGTGGATCCCAGGAATGTGCATTGCTAACAAGTTCCCAGGTGACAGTCAGGTTGTTGATCTATGGAATACACTTTGGGAACCACTGATATAGGGTACTGTGGTCCCCTAGAGGCCTGGGATTAGCACAACCTTCGTTCAAATCCCTGGTCTACCATTTCCTTGCTCTATAAGCCATGGGCACACACCTCCCTCTTGCCTACAGATTCCTGTCTTCTTCGCTAGCTTCCTCCTGTGCCACTGTCCCCCTTGAACACCAGACTCCAGCCACTCTGGCATCAGTTCAAGTTATGGAATAACTCAAGTTTCCCACCTCAGAGACTCTGCATACACTACTCTGCCTGAAGGACTTTTTTGCTGCTGTTCATATGGCTGACTCTCTCTCCCTTCATGGTCAAAGCTTAACTTTCACTCTCTGAGACCATCATTGAGGAACAAGATGCCCCTCACCTCCTATTTTCTACCTTTTTTACTTCCAACATTCACTTATTATAATTTGTAATTATCTAATTATCATTATTTTTTGGCTTAACTCTCACTACACCGTAAGTTCATATAGGCAGGAAGCATTTCTCATGCCCCTTTCTATGTTTAATATAAGGCTCAGTGCTGGATATCCAGTGAGTGCAAGAAATTCAGTTACTGAATTGGTAAGAAATTTGTGAATGAATAATCAAATATTCCCTCTGACCTATCTCCTTATTTGTCAAATGGGAATAACACCGAAGTTGTTACAAGGTTTTACTAAGAAAACAAACATGAAGTTTCTCACACTTAGCTTGCCACGTAATAAGGGCTCAACAAATACTAGTTAATTTTTCACTTTTTATTTTGTTTCTCTCCTTCTTTGCCACAAAAGGGTAGAATGGAAAGAACCCTAAAACTTTAGTCCATTTATTTCTGCTTCCTAACAAATTTCCTCAAGAATTATAACGGCTCGAGTTTCTTCACAAACCAAAGTTCATAAGTATTTTTCTGTGAGCTAACACTATAAAAAGAAAGCCAAAAACAAAACACTAATAAAGTCATGAAGATGGAGCCTATTCTTTGGATTCAGCACCTAGGAGAGACTTCACATTATTGCTTGGTAAACCCTGTCAGCACAGCCTCCAAGTTTGTGCACTGAAACAGAGGAATAGGCCTCGGAATCTCTGAGCCAACTGCAACCTCATTTGCTGTGCATTTTGTACCACTCTTTGGAGAACTCCACGGTATATAGGTAAGTTTCCACAACAGAAGGTTTGGTTTCTTTGGAGTACACTGACTTATGGAGAATATGTACCATGCTCTAGAAATACTGAGAGAGTAGAAACCTTAAGAATGCCCATCTGTAAGGGTCCCCTCAAATCCCCCTTTAAGAGATGTTTTTCTTTTAAAAATCTTTGGCTTATACTAGTGTGGATTTAATAGCTTAAAATCCTAGACATGCTATCAGAATTTTATAATTATAGTAGGAAAACACTACACCAGTTTTTAGCTTCCATGTGTAACAAAGGGCTGTCTCGAGCACTTGCGCTGGCCTGCTCTCTTTCAGGGCATTGTCACACTGTCTGCTTGGAGCAAACATTACTTGATTTGTCGGTCTGTGCTCTCCACACACACGTGCTGCTGGGGAACAGTGGTCCACTTCTCCGCCTCCATCACCATGGCTTCTGCATCCATCAGTCCAAATCCATAGAGATGGCTCACTACGGAAAGCAAGAGGCCGGTCAGCTTCACTGTGGCTAGCAGTACCTTATGCTATATACGTTGAGTTATAATTTCACTCCGTAGAGAACGCTGACACATCCCAATGGGATACTAGCTTTCTTTCTAGCAATGATTTAAAAAACAAATCAAACAAGTACACAATCATAACAAGAAAATAAGATGGATATATATTATTCATTGATTATGTATTATTACTACCACTTATGACTACCACTTATGAATTATTACTACATGGTAGGCACTAGTCCATATTTTTACATTTAATCCTCCCAACAGTCTTAAGATGTTAGTGCTATTATCATCATCATTCATGGATGAAAAAACAGAGGTACAGAGAGAAACTTGGCTAAGACTGACTAGCAATTCAGTGGTTGAGCTGGACTGTAACCCACATACTTTGCTCCAAGGCCTTACTGTTAACTACTTGCATTCAAGTGATGACATCATCGATTTTGTAAGAGAAAATAATTAATATGTTTAAAGAGAAGCGACAATGTATACAACTTCTCCTAGTGAAATAAGAACTTAATGCAAGAAATATCAATTTTCTGACATATCTAGTATTTAGATTGAATATCTCAGAAGACAAATTATTATCTTTCCTCTAGCATATGAAAAATTTATTAAACTTTATACATGAAATATTTGGAGGCCTCCAGACTTTTATGCCAGCTTCTTATCCTCGAATGTTGTAATCTTTTTAGTTCTCAATGAGAATACCTATTGATCTAAAGCTGAATTTGACATAACTGTCTCAGAAACTTCAATTACATATGGGAATATTTTAATGATGCAGCAAGATCTACACGTGCAGTTCTTTCTAAGAATACTTTAAAATCCCCGTTGAATACTTACAAGCTCCAGTTTGTATTAAACTGTCTCATATATTTATAAACAGTCATACTTCTACCAGATTTGTTGCTTAAAACATTCTTCCTTCTAACATTAATCGCTTTTTGCAAAAATGGCTATAGCTGCCCATACTTATGGATTATTTAAATACTTCAGCATGAAATTCAAGATGTTCTAGGATACAATCCTATTCTACTTTCATAACACCCTCCTCACCAAACCGTTTGCTTTAGTAAGGTCTCTCCTTTACAGCTCCCAGTCACATCTTGCTCTTTCTGTCTCAGTGCCTTTGCTCAGACTGAGCCCTTGGCCTGGAATTCCCTCAACTCTTCCTCTCTGGAGAATCAAATTCTACTCTTAAAAGTTCCTGAAGACCTAGTTAGTCGATCATCTCTTTCTTGAAATATTCTCTGACCAATAAAAGTCAACAGACATCTACTGAAATTCAACTGTCTGTGACCGGTGAACTTTTCTCTTTTCTAGTTCTATAACTTTAATTAATTTGTCAATCTATCTGCCCTTCTGCTCATCCATTCATCCATCTACCCATCCATCTATCCACCCAGCCACCCATCCATCCATTCAGCATTTCTTGAGTGCCTTCCATGTGACAAGCACTGTGTTACTCACTGCACTTCTTAACTGTGCCATCAATTGAATTGCTAATTAACTCTGTCAGCATGTCTTTTTACCCTAACTGTATTATAAACTTCTTGATGGTAGGAACTAGGACTTATATTTCTTTACCTGTTCCATAGGATTTAGCAGAACTTTATACATATGGGAGGAAAAAGAAATTACAGCACATAAAAAAGGAAAATCGTGTTAGGATTCAGAAATACTGCTCTATTTCTGCTATTAACTAATCACGTAATTCTTGGCAAACAAGGTAAAATATCTAACCCACAATTGCCTTATTTGGGGATATTATTGTTTATCCCATCACCATTACTAAGTTGATTAAGTATTATTATATGTTCCATGTGAGAAAGTCTGTGTAAAAAACTATACATATGTAAGGGTTCATCATTATAACATCAGCTGCTCAGCCAGACAGGACACACTGAATAAAACTGAATAAACCTACTCAAGCATGCCAAGGATGTATGTAGGATTTTTATATGTGTATGTTTGTAACTTTTATTATAAATGATTTTTTTCTTTTTATTCCAAAGTAATGCATGTTCATTGTCAAAACTTGTAAATATATCCAGAAAAGAATAAAGAAAATAAAAGCCATCAATAACTTCATCACAAATTGGTAACTGCTATTAACAATTCTGTATGTTTGGTTTCAGTTACATAATAATATGTGAGGTAATTTTGCCTCTTTTATTAAAAGACACAGAGTTGTCCACATGAAACAGGAGAAATATCAAGTTTGGCCTTAAGGAAACCAAATTGTGGAGATCTTTTATTAAAGTTCTTGTAAATTCTATGTTCTCACTTACCACTTAACCATAGCCTATATCATTTCACTGTGAACATTCTAAGGTATTTTCTTTCCCTGGAGGAAGTGAAATTATTGCCGAAGATGGTATGCCAGGCTCTCTAACTCTGCCCAAAACCCGAATATCTCCATGCTGGTATCAAGTGGTTTTAAACCAGCACAACTGATCATTTTATCTCAGTTAGGGAAATAAGATGAAAGATTTGATTGGTATGTGGGGGTGGGTAAGAGGGTGGGGAGGGGCCTGCGGAGGGCAAGGGCTTTCAATAGTCTGCAAGATGGGGGCTGCCTGGCCTCTGGTTCAGCTGCATTAGCTGCTGCTCTCCCCACCCCACCCCCATAACTGTCAACTGAACAGCCATTCGGACATAAATTAACATGCAGAGTCATCAAATACAACAAACACTTCATGCCTGTTAAACAACCACTTGAGCTAAGTAGAAAAGCACCTTGCGTCTTTATGAAGGTCATAAATTTGTTTCCTTTTCCGATTCAATTCCTACCCTCCAGAGACAATGTCCATTCATGCAACACTCACAGTAGATGTTCAGAAAAGAGGCTGACCAGCTCCAGTTAAGCTAGACTGGCAGGTCAACAAAAACCATTTACATTAATGGCATATGGAGGAATTAGATTACATCACTGAAGGGCACTGTGTCAGTAACGGAGATTTTCAGTATTTTAAAATACTGGAAATTGTGTATCTATCCACAATCATGATACACAGCCTAAGAAAATGATGAAATGAATTTCTTTCTTTTTTGGGTGGAGGGTGCTGGCAATATATCAACTCCATGTGTTCTGATTGGAAGTTATTTGTTTGGCTTTTGGTAAATACCTATGAGAAAATAATTACAGAATGAATGTTTGGGGCAGATAAATTCCTTGAAAACATGGTGTCAGCAGGGGAAACAGCCATTAAACAGTTTGGAAGCATTAATAATTTCTTTTGTGACAATTTATAATTGACATATATTAATTTTTTATATAGTTTCCACACTCTAAAATTACCTTTAAATTCAGAAACACTGATCTTTCTTTTGGGGACCGTGTGAGTCAAGTCTGTCTTGCCTCTCACACTGTAACCATGATGGGCTGCAGGGAGCAGGATTTCTCTCCAGTGGCTGCAGAGCACCTGGCTTAGAGGAGAGCTTCCAGAAATACTTGTGAAGTGAATGAATGCAATGGGTAGGAGAAATTTTATTTAATTCACCAAGTGGCATAAAGTGTCCACAAGAGAATTGTAAGGGGAGTTAGGAGGGCTGTTCTTTTTATTACTGACTCCTATAAAGGTATCGTTAACACTCAAAATTTATTCAAGTATAGAGCCAATATTCACATTTTAAAAATTTATGATTATAACAAATATGCCATGCAAACAACGAGTTCTGATATGGTCATTCCAAAATGAAAGCAGTTTTATTTATGCACTTTGCTCATGTCAAGCTCAGAGCAAAAAGGGAGCCTGAAAATAACTTTATGACGACCAAGTGGAACCCTCTCTGTGTAAGCGCTGTATAAAACGCAAAACACTATGAAGTTAGAGTACTAGGATGTTGGTGTGAACAGGAATCTAACCAGTTCAAACAGAATTTTTTATTCCTAGGAGCGTGGGCAGCAGACATTCAATTCATAGTTTTAACATTAGTTAAGACTCAAAAATCAATATTTAGAAAGACACTGGAACAGGGCATGTATACAGAGTAATTAAAGATCTTGAAGTAAAGTATGAGGTGTATTTCAGAAAGTAAATCTATTTCTGGGTAGAATGATGTTGGACAAGCTTAATAGAGGGAATTTGAAAAACCTGCATAACATTATATTTGTTCCATTAGCCTGCATGACTGTTTACACAGATAAACTCAAAAAAGCGGACTCATCTTATGTCAGAATATAGCTAGCCTTTATTCCAAGTTATCCAAAGGCCTCCCTGCTTGGGCCAGTAAGATGGACAAGAGAAGGCAAGAAAATAGATAATGTTCTCCAGCAGGTATATTTTGATTTTCTGATGAGACAAGAAGTACTAAAAGAAGCTAGTCATTAAGCACACAAGGGAATGAGTGCATAGTTTGAGAGCAGATACAGTTAATTTAAACAACTGTTCTGGTGAGGAGGCCTAAAACACTCAATTCTAAAGGAAAGCTCAGCAGGAAGAAAAAATTTAGAAGTCTCTGAGCACAGAAAGCTATAACCAGGGACATTTGGTCTACTTTTATCTCCTTTAGTGGACTATCCTTACTGGAGTCAGCTATTTTAAATTTTATTATTTTTTTATATTAGACTGAATGGATATTTTATGATGACTCTAAAATGACTATTAGTAAAGCACTGTATATATAATAAAGGACTTGGTTGGTTAAAAAGGGGGTTTGTTTGTTTGTTTTAAGTCTTTGAGCTTCCTGAAGGAAGGCTTTTCTGCCACCAGCTGTCAGATGTACAGACACTTATGCAGCATCCAGCATAAAACAGGATGAATAAACAACAAAAACTCTCTCTAGAAGTAGCCTATGAGAAATTTAAAATTTGCCTGTCACTGAAAAAAATGCAACTAAATGACAGCTTTCCATTACTGAGTATTTAATATGAAAGTACAGACAATTTCTTCCATTGAGGAAATCACTTCTTATAACTAGTGTGACTAAATGTCCAGGTTTGTCCAGAGCTGTCCTGGTTTTA